GTTCTATTATGGTTCGGAATATTGGCTCGGATCTATTGAGTCGGAGAGACATTTCAATTAAATTATTGTCGTATAACATTTTGTAAATGTTTTTGTCTAATTTCTAATCTAATTTTGGTTAATTCTAATCTAATAAGGTCTTGTTCGAGACTTATGGTCGCACCAGATGAGTTAGGACTGGAGTGTAACTCATAGAGTAATTTCGGATAGGGTACACCGTCTGCTCGTCACGCTATCTTATTTTCGGCCGGATAGATTCGTGCAACTTCTTAGTCTAATACCGATCCTAATCTTACTCTTATACTATCTAGTCTCAGGTTGTTTAACTAGTCTCTGCTAGGCTCAATAGATCTAGGGTATACTGGTTTATTGCGGCTGCTGAAGTGCTCGGGAGAGTCCAACTAATTTCTAAGTTAAATTCAAATCTCTCTGGTGCTGAAATTACAAGTAACTTCAGCACTTACAAATAAGTGGGTTGTTAGTTAGATGGATCATGATTGGTTAATATTAAATACTTTACATTGGTAAAACATTTAATTTATCCAATCATAAAATATAGTTTAGATCAGGTTCCAAAAACTTGAAGCCTATTTTTGCTGCAAATATCGAGTACCAACTAAAAATTGGTTGATTTTAGAAAAAAATCTCGAAGTTAATTTTGTTGTTAAGACTAAGGTGATAAAAGTTGACCTCAAATTGATTCATTACTTACCTTCAAATCTAACCCTTCTGGAAATTTAACGGTCTATAGCTTTTTATCAACTTTTTGTCTATAACTTTTTTGCTGCGGTCTATAACTTTTTAAGAAAAAACCATGACAGCGAACAAGGAACAAAAAAAGTGACAAAAAAACAAAAAAGAGGGATTTTTGATTTTTGAAATTTTATCCAATCTTTCTCATTACATCATATTACGAACTTGAAAGAACATAATCCCGATTTTATTCTAAACCCTTCTTTCTGTCACCAGAAACTGAATAGTGCAGTTACGGGGCAGTCGCAGCATTGAGGGTTTAACCACAACACGGGCGTTTTTGTTGAAATTTCCTTTAGACATGAAATATACTTCAACTACAGAAGTTTCTGTATTAAGTTTGATATTTAATGCGTAGGTTACGGGCTCTTCTTCTTTTGCAAGATTGTAGGCTAAAAACGCACAGAATTCTATCCTGAATTGCAATCCGTACAAAAAATTGACCGAAAAAATTGAACACTTAAAGGGCTTATAGAGAAAGAACGGCGTGTATTGGTCACTGTATTCTTTCCATATATAACTTTTATTCCTTCTAAAGTTTGAATGTTTTGAATTACTTGGCTTCATGTGATAGTTTAATTTTTTTAATTTTCATTTTGAGTTTATCGGATTCCAAAAAATACGCGGATTTTCCTTTTTTCCAAGTAAAAAGCTTGTTTTGAATTGTTGCAATTGGCACGTTACAACTGACTTCATTTTGCAGTTGCAAAATAAATTAAAGAAAAAAAGGGGTTGCTAAAATTTCTTGTTGTCGAAAGTTGTTGTATCTGAAGCTTGATTTGACGCATCTTTGGGCAAATAAACATTTGTGGTTCACCACCCTTTAGCTGAATGTTTTTCAAAATTAGGTTTGGTTGTTGCTTGTCGCTTCATGCGTAATTCGGTCCAAGTTTTTGCTGCTGCCCAACCGTATGGTTAGTAGTTTGAACGGGAGTGAAAGGTGATGCGTGTGTTGCTTGCCTTTTGTCCGTTTTAACTAATTAAATCTGTTGGATTTCAGCACGTTGCGTGCTGCGTGATTGTTTTTTTTTCAGTCCTTGTCTCCAGTAGTCTTTCTTTTCCTGCGGCGTTTCCACTGGCGTTGTTTTGTTTAATTCCAAAGTTAGCAAAAAAGATTGCCTTACGAGGGCTTTTAAAATTTTTCCAATGCTTGTTGGGCTCAAAAGAGTTTTTTTTACTGACATCAGATGTGGTGGTTAAGTTTTGTCATTATCCATTGTTGCTGAGAACTGTCTTTAATGTGAGTCGCTTTCATTGATGTGAGTCGCCATCTTCTGTTTTCAATGGCCATTGCTGTCATTAATCTATTGAGCCCTTTGTTGAATAGTAAATTGATTGTTTTGAGTTTGCTGCTAAGTCGCCCAAAGTTTGGCTGGGGTTTTTGATTCTTCCGGCGAGATGCTGTAGAGTGTAGAGTGTCGTCAGTGCTGGGAATTTCACCAAAGATATCATTATGTATCGAGTTTTGAAGCCAAGCTGGAGGTTTTTTCCTCAGCAGGACTCGGGTTGAAGTTGTCTTAATCTTCCGTGGAATTCATGAATGCTAAACGAACTTGTAACTGCTGCTGTCGGTTCGTAAGGGTTGTAGAATTTAAACAAAATATCGTGACGTCCTGACGTTGCTTCCTTGTTTCGAGATTTTCTCCGTCGATGTCGGGCTTAGTTGCTAATTTTACTGATACTTTTTAGCCGGCTTGTCAATTTCCTTTTTCTCGTTACAACTTTAAAAGATAATGTTGAGATTCGTTTGCGTCTCGCTTTTCTTTTTGTTTGCTTCCTTGGTGGGTTGTCATAAGATGACGGTGTTGAATTCTGCTGCTCTCAAAAAATGTCTGTGTTAATTGAGGTGGTGTTGTCTGTAGAATTCTGTTGTGATTTCAAATCCATTGCAAACCTAATGAGTTTAATCTGTCGTCGTGAAAATTGCAGATCATTTGGTTGGTACGTCAAGATTCTCTGACTGGTGCTACTGATACCTGCTGTCAATTGTCTGCTATAGGTTGATTCAGGTGAAACAGTTGCTGCCCCCTAATTTTCCGAACGTTTTTCTTTAATCAACAATTGTTGCCTGCCTCGCTTGGTACTGCAATTGTTCATCCCAGAGCTCTCTTCACTGCACTTAGAACCTTAGCTTATCTTTTGTTCATCGTTTCTGGTTCAATTACATTGATTTTGTTGATTACTAGTATGATGCAAATTGAGTTGTGGCTGAATGTGAGGAAGGCAATTCCACAGATGCTGTTGAGCTTGTGAGTTTCCACGCTAACTTTGGTTTCATCCTCAATAAAAAAAATTCCATGTCGTTGAAATGCTCTCGAACGGGTGAATTGTGAGATCAACTTTTATGGCGTCCATGGTATGCAAGTCGAAGAAAACTCCAACGAAGATCGGGCTACTTCTTTTATTTCTCTTTGTTCAAAAAATGTGCTCTCTCCTGTGATATATAGCTATTCTTACTTCCACTGTCGAGAACAGTGTACACCTCGATGAAGTTGTGGTGAGGCTGGAGATTCACTTGTAGTAAATACAGGAGTGAGTTGGTTTTGAAATGCATTGCATTATGACTCACTAGGTGCATTGACTGATTTGGCGTCTGGTTGGTGTTGATTTGCGTGAATTGCGTGAACAGTCTTTTACTTGATGTTTTTTCCGAGACAGTTGTAACAGAGTTGTTTGGTTGCATGGGTGGTAAATGATAATATGCTATTGCGAACTGCCTTATCCATTTGTTGAAGAAGATGAGATAAGGTTGCTCAAGGTTCTCGGTGCTGATTTGTTGCGTCCAATTCGTCTGTGGTGGAGTTGTTACAGCTGCAATTTCTCATAGCATCTGTCTGAATCCATCAGAGATGTCGTCGTGTTCCTCTTGTATTTCAGTGAAGCGGTTGATCAGATGCGTTCAATTGAGTATTCTAAGAGGTAGGTGGAAACCTCTTCCAGTTTGCTGAGTATTTTGCTCACCTCTGTTTCTGGGTTCTATTTCAAATTGATGATTTTTCGTTTTTGTTAGCTGTCTTTGTTAGCTCCAGTCGTAGGTAGCTAGACCGAAGCCTCAAAGGAGCGGAACGAAAAAAAAACAATGGTGCAGTAAGTGTATTTTCAAATAAAAAAACACAACAAAATTACAAATGAAAGATACAAATGCTCGATAGTAGATCAATTCGATACTAAGACACGCGGAAAACTAAAGAAATCAAAACATAAAAACAAATGCCTTTTACCAAAGTTAGGCTATTGATGTCAAACATTTCATTCAAATTTTTATTCTAAGAGGCTGCAAAATGAGGGTCCGTTGGATTGCACCGAAGATGAAATTGTGTTGATAACAACTTGAACAGAGGGTCGAGTTACGGTGTTTTTTCTGTGGTTTAGCTCATCGCCATGAAAAAAAACAATTGGAGTAAAATGGTCACTCAGTTTTTTTAAATTAGGCTTCAACTCTTTCTAGAATTTAAATGTTTTGAATTATTTGGTTGCACGTAATATTTGATTCTGTTTTTTGTTGATCTTCCAGTTAGATTTATCTGGTTCAAATTAATTAGACGAATTTTGCAGCTTTCCATGTGAATAGCTTAGTTTGAACTGTTGCAACTGGCACGTTACAGGGCTCTTTAATCTAAACTTTTTTTTGAAAACTCAATTTGAAAAAAGTCGAACGAATGTGTTTTTAAGTATAGAGGCGTTATGTATAGTGGCAAGGTGTTCACTTCAAAGTGGTCAGATCTTGTAATCGATCATCTGCCAAGGCAATAATAGTGTATGAGTACGAGCTCTTTTTTGATCTCTCGCTTCAAGTCTACCACAGCCTGACCAATTTTTTTACTTGAAATTATGGCACCACGTGAAGCCAAAAAATGAGCTTCGCTCAATCACAAACAACTAATTTGAACTAAGGGGAAAAAACAATAGGATTACAGACAGGCTTGTTAGCTTTCCTTACAGACAGGCTTGATAATAGATGCTCTGCGAACCCTATCCTTGCCAACCCTAGCATTGTTATTGAGTTTGTTATCATGGATAAAGCTATTGACTATCAGTATATTGAGGTGATTGCTTTTAAATTTTAATAAAAGATCTAAATGGTTTTTGCATTCAATTTTTTACAGCAAAATCAATTAAACATTTGTTTGCGTGGCTTTCTGTCTTATTCTAAGCTTCACACTCTTACTGCCTGAAAAACATTATTTTATTAATTAATAATTATTAATTAATTAGTACAAACTGTGTCACTATTATTGTTATTACAGGGTACTATCCGATCCAGTGGTATGAGATCCTGATGTTGCTGCCGACCTCGTTCTCCATCATGGTTTTCACCTCCTTCAGGATTTTCCGCAAAGTACATCATAGTGGCCGCAACTTCAACACCTCAGACCGCACCTACACCGACAGGGACCTGCAACTCCTCAAGGTCAGTCAGTCAGTGCGAATGGACCTGTGAACAGTCATTTCCGCCCAGACACTTCTGCTAGGACATTTCCGCCCCAAAGGCAGTCAGAGTCCCCGGGCCGGGGTGCTCGACTTATGTTTCGACTTTGAAAGTCGAGCAAGTGCAGTTTTGCGACTGAAAGTCCGCGGTCGAGAAGCAATTTTAAGTCGAGCACAAATTCGAAACTTACCCGATTCTGCCCGAGAAAGTCGAAATATAGGTCGAGCACATCAGCTTAGTTTTTTCCAAGAATTTAATTAACAATCTATCTTAACAACAATCTAATACTCCTATGGTATCTACAAAAAATTCTCCACCTCTATAATTAAATAAAGTAAAATAGCATTGGAGCTTTGTATTGATATTTATAATTTTGCTGCACTCTGATTAGTCGAAAATTCAATTGAACTACTTTACTTAACACTACCCCTTTTTAAAAAAGTGGGGTGAGGGGGGATTTTTGTGTACATCCGACCGAATCTACGCCCAGTTCCTTTGGGATTTGACCCCTGGCCCCCCTAAGAGTCATCTCCCTCTTAGTGCCCTCGTACGCCATTCTTAACCCACTTTTTTTTAAAGGTAGGGGAGCGCACACCAAAAAAAAACGCTAATTTTGAAAAAGTGTTTAAGTTGCGTATTTTTTCAAACTTTAGCCCGCAGAGCACACATTTTTTAAAAATCAATAGGGTCCTGATGGGTTTTGAGCGAGCTCGAAAAATAAGTTTGGTCCACCAAACAAAAAAAAGTAAAAAAGTTACCCGCATTGGAGTTCCATGAATATAATTCGATTATAGTTGAGTCTTGTTGTCATTGCCCACAAAAGTGAAAAAAAAAATCGATTATATTCAATAAAAAATGGATTATGATGTTACTATTTTTCGAGGCAACAAAATCCATTTTTACTCCATTATAATCGGTTTTTTTTTCACTTTTGTTTACTTTTGTTTCTGTCTAAAAATATAACACGCTGAATCAATTAAAATCCTCCATTTCATTTCTCAGGTCATTATATCGTTGGTGGGGCTTAGGAAATTAGACGATCAGAAAATTAGACGGGTGCTACAAAAATGGAACCAGATCTAAACTAGAATTTATTATTGGATATTATTCTGATATTTTATCTCTATAAAATATTGAATACTAACCAATCATACTCCATCAAACTAACAACCCACTTATTTGTAAGTGCTGAAACTACTTGTAGTTTCAGCACCAGAGCAATTTGAATTAAGCTTAGAATACAATTGTTCTCATTCTGGAACTAACTCGCATAAACCGCTGTACGCTAGATCTATTAGGACTAGGAGATATAAGAGTAAGATTAAGATTGGTATTAGACTAAGAAGTTGCACGAATCTATCAGGCCGAAAATAAAATAGCGTGACGAGCAGACAGTGTACCGTATCTGAAATTACTTTATGAGTTTAGCCAATAGGTCATAACTCATCTGGTGCGACCAAAAGTCTCGAACAGACCTTAAATAACCTAAATTTGATTTTAAGAAATAGATTAGAATTAGACAAATACAACGTTTTAAAAAATGTTATATGACAAAAATTTAGTAGAAATGTCTCTACGACTCAATAGATCAGATCCAACATTCCGAACAAAACGAGAACTAACCGGTATTGGAAGAAGACCTCGGACAACAGACGACGTACGACTAGGAAGAAATCTACCATTCGATTTCATGATTATACGACAAAAACGAGATCAAACTTTTATATTTAGAAAACTTCCAGCAGTAAATTTACATTTTCATTTACTGGCATAAAATTTTGAAGAAACATCTTCAATAACCTTTCATGGCGCCAAACCTAATAATTATACAATAACGACCGATAAAAACAACACCAGTTCTTCTTGAGAAATCTGCAGTAAATTAAAAACATCTTGAAAAAACATATTTATTGGTTAGAAAAGTACAAAAATTAGTTAGTATAAAGCATCAATTGTTAATATAAATAAATCATCTCATCAACCCAGCTTCATCACTTACAACATAACAGCAAATCTCAAAAACTAACAATCATCAAAACTAAAAACTTAACCTTTTAAACTTAACCTTTTATCGAAAAACTATCAAGGCTTACCCTTGTTTTCACTTAAATTAATTTCATTTAAAATAACAGATCATCAAGGGTTCCCTTGGATCTTTAAACTGTATTCAACTAAATCTAAATTTCTGATCATCAAGGCTTTCCTTGGTTCTTTAAAATAAATTAAACTAAATCTAAATTTCTGATCATCAAGGCTTATCCTTGGATAAAATAGAACAATTTTGTTCTCCCCTCCCATATTAATCAGTATCTAACGACCTCAAACATTGATTCACTACCCAACCCTTATTAAAGACCCATAATTAACAAATTTTTTCCAAAAGGCTAACCATTCTAATTAGGATAAACAGTGAAGCACTTCGGTTACTCATCCTTTACTTGATCCCCTTCCTCTTAAATGACCCAGGCTAAAACACTTAAATTTAGTGAGTCATAAAATAGTATCTAACGAACTACTTGGGTTCTAATTATACCTGAACCTTGTGGACCTATTTACTATTCTCCAACCCTTGATCACAAATCACAACCCCTAAGTAAGATTAGGTAAGTCCATCTTAACTTGGAATTTCTCACGAGAAAGTAAAAATCATTCTCACGAATCGATATAAGCTTTTCTCTCTAACCCACAAAATACGTCACAAGTTAAGCTAACCACAAAAAATTGTAAGAACTAACAGTTTAAGACACTAGAATTCACTAACCCTAATATTGCATCCATCATCCAAAACCTTATGTCAAGAGACAATTTAGGAAACAAACAAACCTTTATATTACACAACTGTATAATTAACGACGAAAGATAAGACTTCGTAACCACACCACACAGCACACAGACAAACAATAGGATACATAAGAACGAAAAGACAAACACTAAGACAGAAAATTATCAACAAACAAAAACACTTTATTAGGAAACGATTTTTTGAAAACGAAGAAACGCAAGTACCAAAAAACTGAATTTAAAGGGTGACACACACTAAATTACAAACACTCCGACAACGGTTGTCCGTGAATATAGACACCATTTTGAGCACAAAAAAAGAGTAAGACACAATTTGCATGAAAAACCCTCGAAAAAACAACAGGCCAAAATGGCAGAAATTTTAATGGACTTTGTAGGTCAAATTATTCAACTTTTTCAAAAAATTGTGAAATCTTATTTTTTGAGACGCAAGATCTAGCCTACAAGACCCAGATTAGTTAATAAAAGCAGCCCCAGAACATCAACATGAGAAAAATTCGCGTCCCAACTCAAACCTCTGAAATCCACCAAAAAACAAGGAATTTGGCCATATTTTTTCAAACCTAGGGTCAAAAATCAAAATTTTAAGAACCTTGGGCCCTAGAAATGATTATTGGCTATGACTAGGATAGAAATTAGATGAATACATTTTGAATTGCGCTAGGGAGAAATTTTTTAAGATTTCAATATAATGAAAAACAAAGAAAATTTATAGTGAAAAAATTGTATACTAACAGAGTTTGAGCGTAGCAGTACTTTACGCCCCGATAAACACTCACTGCAACCTCCACCGAATACACCTATTCAGTATTATGCAATGATTGCATAACTGCCAATTAAACAAAAATACGCAAGGTTATTGTCAACCCACTAAAGAATCAATATGGTATAATCTTCCACTACATAACCACGATGAAGATCACTTTAATCACCCACAAAATTTAAAATTAGCTTCCGGTACAACACCAAATGTATTTTAAATAGAGAGGAAAAAAAATTGAAATTTACCAAAAAGTAGCAAAAAAATTATTACAGAGACAAAATATTAATTCCCAAAAAAATTCTCGATTCACACCAGCTACAAACCTAAAAATCGAAACATACGTTTTAATTCCAAATTTTACAACACAAAAAGGATCTTCTAAAAATTTACAGCCACTCCGAAAAGGACCACATCAAATAATTGATAAACCCCTTGATGTTCCACCTTATTATCCCAAAGAGTACGTTTTTCGCGAACTGACTCAATAATACTCCTTTACAGGACTCAAAGTTTTTCACAATAACTCCAATTATAAATAAAATCAAAGCACTGATATGAATTCTATCCAAAAACCATTAGAACAAAAAAAAAGAACTTAACAAACAAAAATCTCAAAAGTTAGACAACAAAAAGATAACTCAAACAGAAAGAAAAAATCGAAAATTAGAAGAAAAATTTTTACCACAAGATCAAAATAAAAAATCTCAACATAGACAATCATCGCCACTTCAAAGTCAGCCACGAAAAGATTATAAAACATTCATTCCACAATCTAAAATAGTAAAGAAAAATGAATTTCAGAAACCACTTTAAAATTAAATAACATTTTCACCTTTTGAAAGAGCTTTCAAACACCGGTACATTTTCTCAAAAATCATGCTGGAAAGCACTTAAGCAAATTAGTTCAAAATCAGCCGATAAGAATTTTTCCGAATCATCACCTTATTTTTGACACGCCTTCTTTAGCCGACAAACAATCACCTTCAAGCGTATCTCTAACTATAACTAAAAGACTTCCAGCTCAGAAATAAGAAAACCGCCAAAAATTGAGACCTGAAATAAACAAAATCTCAATATTACAACCCTCTTATATCGAGTAAAACAAAAATCAACAATATTGTCTCAACGTAGAACTCAAAACTCACTCAAAAAAAAATAAGTTTGCCCAAAGAACAAAATGGACATGATCATTTAGCCTAAAGTACAAATATCTCTTAGATACCCCAATCATCCAATAAATAAAAACAAAACTAGGAAGACCCTTAAGAGCCCTCAAAACTTCCCTCAACTAAAACCTTCAACGTAGACGAATCCCGCCCACTAATCGTCCCACACGAATTCCTACAGCCCGTTGAAATCCCGATCCTAGAATTCATCAATAACACCAGGTATAACCATAAACTTAATAACCTCATCC